CACGTAGGGCACTCATTTTAGACAGGATAATTATGTTCCCAGCCATATAATGGAGTTCATGATGGGATGTTGAAACTAGCAGCCTATTTTGTAAAATGTGCCATTTGATAAGACATTTATTGAACTGTTGTTTGCTAACATTACAACCCACAGCTAATACTTTGGTAATTTATTTTCATGTGGTGTTACAAGGCTTTGGGAGAAAGCGCAAGTCATACTGTACCTACAGCCAGTGCTGCAGTGCTTGTAGACCTGGATCAAGAGACCTTGAGTTCTTGGCTTTTTTCCTTTTTTTGCCGTTATTTCACCTAACCCTAGTCTGGTCCTGGCCTCTTTCACTTCTACCAGGCTCATACTATAAGGCTGTGCTCTGTCACAAATAACATAGTGATCCATGTTTGCCATTTTTAAACTTGAACTAGAGCTTGGCTGTTCTCCTTTTTGTGACCTCAGGACCAATTAGTCTTTTTTGAAACAGGCCTATAACTCCCTTACAAACTTTTATTGTTGCATACACAGTGTATAGATTTTTTTTATTTTATTTTTTTCAAAAATGCACTTTCTGCATCAATATCCTTCATATTGATTCACTGAGGTTGCTAACCTGCCAGTTACACTTTTCAGCACAGTCATTATTTTTGATGAGTGAAGCCTTTTATTCAGAATTTTTTGAGCATGCATGCTGCTTTTGGTCCCAGCTTTGCTTACACACAGGTGCAGATATTTACACCTGCCCAGTCCTTAGACTTCGCTACAGCTGGCCATTCATCAAAAGCAAACATGGCTGACAGTATGGTAATGTTTGGGGTTTAGCATGGAAATAAGGATGAACTCTAAAAGAAGATAACAAGATGGCAAGAAGAAAGCAATCCATCAAGTAAATCCCCCAGCAGCCATTTCTGCTTGTTATTTCAGCAACATTGGAGATGAAGCTGGATGGGCATTTAGTAACAAACAGCTTTCTTCTCTGTGTTAAATGAAAACCAGTTGGTGTTTCAAACTTCACACTTTATTATTTTGTGATAACTTTCAGAGTAAACAGCTTAGCTGTGTTTTGGTGTCTAATAGGCTTTAAACACATAAATCTGCTCTTCCAACTGTGTCAAGGTCAGTGTGAATTGACACATTTGATAGGATGAAATTCTGTCTGCAGTGTGAGATGCATGTAGAAAACACACTCAGTGAGAACTGAAGGGTAAGATGCAAGGAGAGAGGACTCAAGGAAACATGTTTTAGAGACAGGAGAGGTCATTTCCTTCATAAAAGTCTATAAAAGACACATGCAAAAGATGGCCTCATGTGTCCTTGCTCATGGCTCTTCCAGGCAACCTCGTCACTCCTTGATCCTCGCTCCATCAAGACGGCCAAATGGAACAACATAGAGTGAGCCAAATCAGGGAATTGTGATTTACCCATTGTTTCTCACCAGTACATGAAACGTCTCACCAATGCAGCCCATTTTTTAAACACAGGGCAAATGTCTGTCTAAATGTAGCCTTTGTGTGCTGTTAGCTTAGAGACAGACAGACAGGCGCTGCCTGGGGTTCATATTATCGCCCGAGGTCCACCTTTCTCTGTGCAAGCATCTTGACTGGCCAGATTCTTTAACAGCTTCCTATTTGTGAAAAATATTGATGTCGACACAGAGTCGACAGAATCGATAACATCGAATAATCTCGGCAGCCCTGTTCTTATACGTCACACAATCCTGTCAAGGTAGCATCTGATCAGTCCCAAATTCATTGTGCAGCAAGACAATGAGCCCAAACACAGCCAGATTCAGAGATATCTCCAGAGACAAGAACAACAGATGGCCTGGCCTCCACAGAGCCCTGATCTCAGCATCGTGGAGTCAGGCTGGGATTACATGAATAGACAGAAGACACTTCTCTCAAAGCCACAGGCTCCCTGTAATCCAACTGAGGATCATATGACAAAAACAAACAGGAGATTCTAAATAAGACAAAACCAAAAAAATAAGAGCCCCAGAAGTCTGCAGTTTGCTGGCAGACTGTCCAGCCACTGATTTTAGGAGGTGTAGCCTTCATAAAGACACTTTACAAGTGAACAGTGTGTGGGCTGCCCATTACTTCACACACTCAGATCATTCCTAAGTGCTAAGAAAGAGCAACTCTAATCAGATTCCCAGGTAATTGATTGTGAGCATTATGGGAGGTTGCTTGTGTCAGGATCTGTCCCTGTGAGTCAAACAGCACAAACTATCAATGTTTATTTCTATCAGAGATGAAGGAAGCAGTATTCAAGAATGAAGTGAAGGCAAGATTCTTGTAAAGAAGCTGTGGTTGTTTTGTTTTCAGCAGGGATGATGACTGGGGGGGATTGTTATGATGTGTAAATTAAGTAATATATGCTTGTTTATTTGGAAGAAACGACCATCATTCTAATTCAAAAGCACCGATGTGTGTGTCATGTTGACAGCCACAAAATTCATGACTCAGATGGAGGGGAGCTTTATTTATTTACCCTGGCCAGTTTCACTGAAAGAGCCCTCTTAGGCAACAGAAACACTTTTTCACCACACATTTATAAAGAAATTTGGTACTCACTGTGTTGTACTGAGATACATTGATATTATTTTCCTAAACAGTTTCCTGAGGGTAGAGAAACAGTTTGTCAGTCTGTAGAAGATTATCAAGAATCCATCTCTTCTGGATCTGCAAAAAGACACTGAAACATGAGTTCAGTTGCTGAACCCTCATAAGCCTTTAACTACCAGTCTTTGTACCTAAATGATGCATTTGGCACATCCCAGGTCTTTTATATGATTGTTCCTCAGTTCTCAGAACCCAAGATGATGTCTTCAGGTTATTTGTTTTGTCTGAGCAACAGTCCAAACCCCAAAGACATTCACTGTAAAGTGGTATGAACCTGAGGAAAGAAGCAAATCCTCTCATTTCAGAAGCTGGAATCAGAAAATTTGCCAACTTTGTTTGGCAAACCACTGAAACTATTTATTCCTTATCACAATTGTTGATTAAATGACTATTTGTTTCGTTACCAATTTGGATGTTTTAATATTGACTTTGGGCTGAAATTTTGTGTCTCAGTTTACAGCGGCTCGTTCTCACATACACACAGACGAAGTGATAGGAGTATGTGCTGCAGTGTTCAGAGGACATAGTTCAAGAGAGCAGGCTACTTCCTGTCCTGCCGCATCGGAAATACCAGCTCTGAGGCTGGATTTAGATCTGACTACAAACATGTGCACACACTCACTTTTACACAGAGTCAGCTTAGACATGTAAATGCCCCAGAGCACGCACACAAGCAGCAGAGAGTATGCAGCTGAATGAACCTAGTGAGAGTAAACAGAACAATCTTCCCGTACTGTAGCTGCTTGCCTCAAACACCAAACACACAGAGGACACACCCACATATATGCAGTATGTACACACTAATACACTTATCACACATGAGCACGCACGCACACACAAACTGCTGTCCGCTGGGAGTATTGTTGGATTGTTCCTCCTCGGATGCCTGTGAGGTGCTGGCAAAGTAAAAGGAAATGCAGACTTGTGTAACCTTTCTACACAGTAGAGAGCGAGAGAGTGTCAGATTGAGCCTTTGCGTTAGCAGAGCCAGGGGTCAGCCCCTGAGCTCTGCTTTAATCCTGATTTCTGTAGTCAACATCTTGTCACCTCCAGAAACAGGAGGCCTTTCCCCTGTGTGACCTTGGGATGAGGGTTTCACATGAATTGCAAATAAAAAATACATGAATAAGCAAATACAAGTTCTGTGAGTGCATGGTAACAAGTGAAGGTGACTCAGGTGAGCATATCAACATGTTATCAAGTCCATGGTTCCTTTATTTGGACTGATAAACATTCAGAGAGACTTCATTCAATGTGAAGCAATAGAAGTTTCTAACAGGAGTTAGAAACTCTATTTTCTAGTTGCTTCTATAATGGCAGGTGACCGTCACATGCAATTCAGTTGTAGAGAATGTGAAGGTACGTCACGACATGTTGAATGTTGGGATGGGGGCGTCATTTTGGCAGATACACGCTGTATTTATCCTGCGTATGTTTTTGTTTTGCTTGACTAAAACGTTGCTCATATCGTTAAGGTCTCATTTTACTGACTGTGGTAATTCAGAATAGATAACCTTAGCCGACTTTAGCTGACTCGTAGCGGACCTAGAGGTCGTGTCAACAAGAGTGACTCTTCACCCTGTTTTAGAGGTCGTGTCAACAAGAGTGACTCTGCACCCTCTTGGTTTGGGAGCTAACGCTAGCTAACAGCTGTTTCTGTCCTGTCTGCGCTCAAACTGAACACTAAAGAGGATGTTTGGATGTAGCTGAATCGTTCACTCCTGTATCGAATATCACTGCCAATCCCTAACCAGAACATGACTGTTCCATGATGATGAAACTTCGATACATCTGCTGTCACAGGGACATAGTTTCAGGAGATGCTAGCTGTTTGATAGTGCTAGAATTCATTTTTCTCCATAAAATCAAAACTATGTGGCTAAAGTAAATAATTCGCTCCATACAGCTGCCACAATAGTGATTATTTCTCACACGGCATTTTTAACCTATGAAACAACTTATCAGTGGTCTGAAGTCCTCAGTAATGTTTCCCAGTTTTAGCCTCTTTCCTCTGTCTTTCTACTCTTCCTTTTCATGCTTTGTGACTCTAGAGAGACCAAGGCAAAGTCCATTAGTTGTTTACATACTCCCACTTTCTCCTCCTCCACTTGTGAATTAATGTAGTGAATCATGCAGACTGCTCTCCTCTTTCCTCTGAGGGAGTTATTCACATTTAAAAGCCCATAATCCAACACCTACACGTTAAATGGAAGGCCATTAATGCTAATGGTATACCTTGGACTGAGCTGAGATGAAACCTTGAAGAGCTATAGACTATTAGGGCACGGCAAGGACTTTATCCTTTTCAAGTTGAGTCGTTTGCCCAGTTGGATATGTCTTTCATTTCGTTTGAAGTGGCTGTTTTTCAAAGCTGCGTGACACCAAATGGCTATCAGAAGGTCAGAGATCAGAGCTGATGGAAAGTGTTCAGTCTCAAAAAGGAGAAAAGTTCATCTTGTTAATTTCCTTACTCCTTTCGTTTTGTATGTTACAAGTATTGTTATTCTGTTCTGAGCAGAGGAGACTACTGATTTGTGTCAGGGGTTTCATCACAGATCTTATTTCAGGCAAAGTGGAGCTTCTGACTCTCTGAAAGGCCTATTTTAAAATTTAAATTTTACTGTTTTAGAAGAGCAAAAAAAAATCTGCCATGTGGAAATCTGTGGGCACTCCTTTACCAAATGGCCTGCCTGCCACCTTACTCTGGAATCCAGTATTACCTTCCAGAACTGGCCTATCCATGTCTCTTTCTCATACGGTCACAGAAAATGAAGTAATTTCAGTGTGCAGGCAGGCGCTCATGGTTCCCTTGGGTTATTTTTAGGACATCCCCGGTGTTCACATGGTCTGGGCCAGAGGAAGGGGAGCGGCAGGGGAAAGGGAAACCTTGACCAAGATTTCACTGATACTCAACATGACCAGTACAACTGCACTTCACTGCTCCATTACAACACAGGATATATGACTTATCCTTTTGCATTTTAATTCATTTTAATGGATCTGTTTTTATCGCTACCTACATTGATTCTCAAGGGAAACGTGGAAGTTTGCTAAAGAGCCTAGAAGCATGTTGATCACAAGTGAGTATGTGTTCAGTTACAGCTCTTGTGTTGTGTTATATGATAGCCTGGGAGATAATGAGCCTCTCAATTCTGCCTGATGACAGTTGACAACTGCTGCTTCATGACGTTCATTAAGGAGATGATTGGTTAATGAGCTAAAGTGTGGTAATTATTGAGGACTCAATTCAACAGAAAATGGCTCTCGGGCTCCTTATAAAGGTTCTTCTGATAGTTTGTTGAACTGAAAGACATCGGTTATAAGAATAATAAAAAGCTGGAATTATTTTTACCTTCTGCTTTTTAAGAGAATTTTGTATAAATATGTATCAGTAGTTTTAACCACAGTGTACCACGGTAGATCTTGATTCATTAGGAAAAGAGAAATTTGAAGCCCTCCGTTGTCTGGGAGTTCTTTAGGGTTTAGGGTTAAAGGCCGAGCGCGGTTGTGAACTCTGGTAGAATAAAAGCCTTTTCTCTGGCAGGGAGAGTGTAGGACTCGCTCTGAATGTGCGTGGGTTACACTGCAAATGTTCAAACTTTGTAATATGAATTTATGTCTGAAAACTTTAAAATGTGTACTTGTCTGAGTAGTAATGCATTTTATGTAAATATTTTGAAATCTGTGACTTGACATCTGCATTTTTGGTTTTAGCTTTGTCTTCTGTGCACTCACATTTATACTTTTTTACTTCCCAACCATGTTGCTCTGATTGTGTGGATCTGTGTGTGTGCGTGTGGTGAAATTGGTGTATCAAAAAATGTTATTTATGTTTTGATTTTTATAATTATTTGGTTTATTTTTCTGAACATGTCCAAATGTGGAAACTAAAATGGCTAAAGTTGGGGAACGCCTGTCATTTGAGCAGTGTTATTGCTAAAATAATTAGTCAATTAATAGTTCAATTAACTGACAACACTTTATTTAAAAATTAAAAACAAAATGCCATCAATTCTCTAGTTGCACCGTTTTGAATGTGAAGATTTGCTGCATTCTGTTTTATATCATTGTAAATTGAATGTCATTTTATGAGTAACATTTTATTGTATAAAATAATAGCTGTCCATCGATTGAAAAGACAAACTACAGTTTTTTTCATTCAGATTGTTAGATTGTTAGAAGAGTCTTTGAGGATTCTGGAAATCTGTTGCTAAACATCCCACTGGTATTTTTGGCGTGTACTGTGACTGGTGTACTATTGGTACTTGACACTGCACAGTGTGGTGAGATCAAGACACTGGCTTTTCCTAGTCAAGACAGTAAATGTAGGATTTCATGCCTTAACTGCATTGCATTCTGGTCCATTTCCTGCTCATGCCAAGTAGAAATGGGCTCACTGTTCTTCTCTTTTTGATTTTGTGACTGTTGAACGTTAGTGTAGAATTGAAGGCTTTAGAGAGATTCTCTGTAATGTGATGGTGTTGTTAGTTTGATAGCTGAAAGTGTTTTGTGCATGTGTGTGTGCACGCTGTGTGCACAAACTGCTCTGTAGGTGCTGGAAATTATCCCAGTGTGGTATCACTTTATCTGCACCTTACTAGATATTTGTAGGAACAGGCCAAAGAGGCCCAGAAAAACAAGGTACAGTGGGTGGTAGCTCATAAATAATAAGATGTCAGTGGACCTTAATGTATTTTCAAACTGTGTTGTCAGACCCAGACTTATAAAGGGCCTTGCTCCAGCTTGTTTCTCCAGAGCATTTAATGAGCTGCCTTTTCCCCACCTAAATACTCATTAACTATGTAAAACATTAAGAGGACAACCTAAGGTTTCACATTCATTGCTGAGGTGAAAATATTTGCAGTGCAAACTATCTATAGTTGTTTCCTTGCTGAATAATTAAGCCCTGATAAATAAGGAGTGTTTCCTGGGGTCTTGAGTCAAATGGAGACCCTGACTCTCAGGACCTTTTTGGTCCTGAGAAATTAGTTTATATATGTTTAACTCTATATGTAAAATAAAAAATGCAGTATATACTTGGATGTACAGTCTGTGTCAAGTATCAACTGGAGGTTCCAGATAGAAAAAAACACTGTGTGCGTTGGTGAAGCTTAAACAATTGAAAAGATGCTAGAGGTGCCGCCTGTGACCGTGTTGTAAACATTCATTCCTCTGATTTGGACAAACAGCTTTCTGAACTGGACAGAATCCACTAGAGCTACTGAAATCAATGCTGTCAGTATTTCCTAACATAGACGAAGACTTTGTGTGACGGTTCATGTCAGCAGCTGTAAGGGAGGATGTTACCTTTCTCAAATGTCAGCGATTAAAAAGAGGATGAGGAGAGATGTCTGAGCAGTTGGCCTGTGGTCTAGTTTGGTGGCCCGTAGCCTGTTTGGCTATGATTCTTAAAGCAACTGACTGCGTATGTCTGCTGGTTACGATCAAAGAGCAGCCTTTTCCTTGTTTCTTTCGAATTATTTTTAGAGGTTAGGTTATCCAGTGATTCGATTAGAGGAAAAGAAGCTAGTTGGTTTTGCTTCCCTGTCAGTGCCAGATTTAACTTGCCCAGTCATGATAATCCATCCTCCAACTCAACCTTTGGCTAACTTCTCTACGTAACAGACAGGTGTGGGCAGTGTATCCCATCCACACTGACTCCACTTAATCTCTTTGAGCTGGAGGAATGTAACCTGACCAGGATGCTGATGTTTCACAGCAGCTGAAGCTCTCAGAGGCCACTGTGTAAAACAAAGTGGAATTTGTATCCCTTTTACTTGAAGGCAGGTGTAAGGATCACTGTCGCAGTGGCCTGTGTTGCTTTATCCGTATCAACTGTGGCTCGGCCTGAACGACTGCTCCTAGTTTGTGCACGTCTGTCAGGATTAAGTGAAGCAACAATTACATTTAAACTTGTCATTTCAGTGTGTTTTGTGCAGTTTAATTGGCAAACATGACATAAAACTAGATTGTAGGAGGTGTTTTTTGTTTTACTATTTTTATTTCTGTTTGTGTTGCTTATTCCTTGCTGCTGATTTACTTAAAGACAGACCAAATGGCAGGCGTAGCAGTTGGCGATTTTACACAGATGTAATTTATACAGGCAGATTTTAAGTAGAGTTGAAAATTCTGCCAATTTTGAACAGGTCCTCTTGCTGAGAGTTGAAGTGGGATGTTACTTTAACATGAGTGAAATAAAAAGTGAAATGTGTTATGGTCATTTATTCCAGTGAGAGTTGCTCACCCTGCAGGTGGAGGTGTCCTGACAGTAATTTTACTTTGTGTCTTTTATGATGGAGCCTATGGGAAAAGTTTTTCTGGGCCAGTTGTGTGAGCTGCTCCAGACAGATTCAGGTTTAGAAAGTGAGAGAATTTTTCATGACCACAGACATCTCAACTTTCCCCTGGCCAAGCTCACTGGGCTGACGGGGGAATACCATCAGAGACACGGTGTAAAGGAGGAGGGAAACATCACGCTTCACTTTGACAGCTGACATACCTCTTCTGTCTTCAACCACACCTCTGGAGCCCCGCAAGACCCTCTCAAGCATGTCACTGAACTGCAAGCAGTGCTTTATCCCCCACAAGCTATGCAGTGGCTTACTGAGCCGTAAAAGTAGTGTGAAAGTCCTGGAGTATCAGTTAAATGTTGGAATGGCCTTGTTCAGAAATACAGCTTAGTTTGTGAGATGAGAGGAGAAGTTGGCTAGTTTGGTTAGACACAGATGTCAGCAGCAGACGGCTGAATGCAGGGTTAGACTGCCTCATAGTTTTGCGATGAGCTGTCTTGCCTCTCACAGATCTTTGCTGTCATAGGCTCCATTTACACTTGTTATGTCAAATGGCTCATATTCAGTAAATATCCAGAGGAGATTTAATAGATTTTCAAACGGGCTTAACCACAAATATGCGTCTTCATTGACCAGATTACAGACGTGATTTCCCTGCTACATGCAGATCAGGGTCGGCCCTCCTCCTGTCCCTGGGGCACCGGAAATGTGCCTAAAGTTGTTTAGTAACTGCCAAAAACACCAGAGAGGAATAGCACCTTGGCAGTTTTGGTTACCACAATTACATCTTACCTAGCCAAATAGCAGCTATCTGAAAACTAACTAAAACATGTATTTCTGAAGTGTCAGTGATCCTGCTACCCAGCCAATACAGACCACTGCTCTCAGTCACACAGATGATGCAGTGGTTGGACTGATCACGAATCAGATGAATGATTGCCAGTAACACATAACCCCAACTCTTGAGGATAATGTTGGGAATATGATCTCATATTCCACTGTTAAAGCCTCAAGAAGGGTAAGACATGTCAAAGGAACATCTCCAAATTACCCTAATTTATGGCAATCAGTGATTCTATTAGTCTAGGTCAAAGCTTTGGTGTCCAGACAAGCATAAACATCCAAACACAAACGGTCCACAGAGCACGTATCCCCACTATCCGTAGTTCCTTAGCATCCAGGCACATGCTGTCCAGCTTCCTGGCGCTAGCAGGGTGGAGTCACCCTAATCACACATCCACATCTCTTATCAGAGCCCAGAGGGGCCAAATCACAACTTCCTCAGCACCATAGTCATTTAGAAAAGGAAGAGGCCACTGCCTGCTGTGGTCATACTCAAACAGGAGCCCAGCAGATACCATCAGTTACGTAAATGCTGAGCCGAGTGAGACGGGGCTCTGAATGTGGGAGTCGAAGTCAGTGACCAAACATGCAGGCCTAGTTTATAGTTCATTGTGTTTCTGACAGGTGTGGAGTGTTTAGTTCCTGACTAAACACATAAGATATGTATCATTCTTAAGCCTTTAACTGACATTCTTCTTTAACAGCTGGTATGGTGGCATGGTGAAAAAGGAGCTTTGGGATAAGTTAGGGTGATGGCAGAGTGCTGTTGACACTGTGCCACTTGTGACATCACAGTGTAAAATCGGCTGTGAGGATAAGCCGACCCCCTGTGCAGCGCTTCGCTGAGTTACGCTATGTCTACATTAAAAATGTGTAGCGTCTATACCAGGCATGTGTTTGGTCACATGTTGGATGTGCATAGTGTATCTTTTTTCATTGCAAGTTTATTTTAACAGAAATGATTTATTGTCGCCAAAGACAGCTCTTCAGACTGTACATGGATTTCCTTCTTAACCCAGTTCTGTGGGGGTTTTGCATTCTAACAGTCACTAGTTACGTACCTGGCTGCTCTGCTTCAATCGACCCTAACACCATGTTTACATAGCCTACATACAGCTGGTACATGGACAGCTTACACAGCTGGATTGTTTAATAAGAGCGCAGTTCCATCTGTTCATCCACTGTTGTATTAAATTGGATTGTCCAGGACAACAAAGGGGAGTCTGTGTTTAATGTTTTAAGGACAAATGATCTTAAGGAACCATGAAGACTACTGTCATTGGCGTAGCTACTGTGTATGCTACTGAGCAGACAGAAGGTGCTCTGCTGACACCAGTAGCCCGGCTTGACTCTGTTGGTTACACTTCAACACAACTGTACCTCATTGTACTGTGACAGAACCGTCTACAAGAGTACAGCTAACATTTAGGCTCAATGACAAAGCAAGAAACTGGACATGTCTCTGCCCAGCTGGAAGAGATGAATCAAATCCCAAATTGGCTCCTGAGCAGAATTAAACTAGCATTTCTTGTAGGAAAAAAAAAAACTGGACTCCTCTGTACTCATCTCTTTGGTGTAAAGGGTGATTTTTGTGTGATTGCAGGCCAACGGGTTGGTAAACATGAGCACACTGTGTGCAGTGTGTCGGTCGTAGCTTCCAGGAGTTCTGCGTTCTGGATGTCTTGTTGAGCTTTAGCATCCAAACACCTTGGAGCATGTAAGGAACCAAAGAAAATCAATTTTGTTTTGAGGCTTTCTCTTTTCATCCAGGTTCAATCGCCTCTTCTGCTTTGCAGTCTTTAAACACACTAACTGAGTGATGCCCTCAGTACAACTATAATCCAATTTATCCACACCTGCCCTGGGGTGACTTGGGTTTCAGTGCTTTACTCAAATACCACAGGATCATTCTAATAATAATCATCATTCAGTTTCCCCACTAAGATTTTTGTTGCAGGCTTCAGGACTGTAACTCAAATATATTCAACAGAAGCCTCTTCTCTCAGCTCTGAGCCACTGCTGCCTTAAATCAGGATATTAGACCTGTTTGAAGTGCAGGGACAGTTTAAATGACAAGGGCTCTTCGCTTGCAACCCTCAGGGTTGCAAAACGACAAGCCCCTGTCCTTATCTTTCAGTCAGTGGTGACAGTGCGCCTCATAAAGTTCCAGGTAGATCCACAGCACTTGCTCCTTTTCCTGTCTGAAATGTCTCATCTCCACTGTGATGCTGAGCACTCGGTGTTTAACCAGCAAGTTATTTGAATGGTCATATTAAACATATTTATGGTAGTTCCTTTGTATTGTATCATTCAGTCTTTAGCTGTCTTTGCCTGCTGCTCTCTTTAGTCTTTTTCCCCATCATATTTGTGGGATTCCCCCCAGTGTTTACACATCTGGGCCTTCTACTGGGTGTCACTCTGTTCTCCTGACCACCAGGAGTGTCAGGGGAAACACAGAGACCACATCATAAGCTAAGTTTACATCCTGCTGTCAGTAAATTTCAGACAATTATTTTGAAAAGCCACAAAAGATAAAATGTGAATTATGTCTTTTCTCCATCTCAGCTGAAGCGAATGAGTAGGCAGTCAAAACAACCACCAGATGAGATGTGATTGAAGGCAAACTGCTGTATTTGTTGTTTACTATCAGCTGATGTTGGCCATATTTCATGCTGCTTGAGTATGAAAACAAAAAAATGCTACTGGCATTCTAACCACGACAGTCTTCTTATGCATGGGGGAGAGAGAGACAGCTGGTTTAACTTCTCAGGGAGGCTTGTGGTCAACAAATATTTTGAGACTTCTCAGAAAATCCTCTTCTGAGCTGTGCAGCCAGACTGAGAAAATTATTTCTGTAGCTTTTTATTGTGAATATTCTGAACCAACAAAATCTTTTTATGCTTCAAGTGAGAATATTTAGTTTCTTTTTCATTCAGCCTTTTCTAATGCAGGGTGTTGGATTCCACAGAAATCCTTGACTTCAGTGGAGGTTCATTGTGTGTGTTGGTATTTTCACAGGTCTTCTAGTGCATATAGCTTTAATATGTATTATAAAACATTTATTGTAAGTGTAAGCATTATTGTGTCAGGCATCGTATCAAGTGTCCTGTTCTTTTAATGGATTTAATAAGATGGCTGACAGCATTCATTTTTGAAATTTGGGGTTCCCTCGTTCTTCCTCTTTGGTTGATGTGTTTACTCTTTCTACTCATTAGCTCAGGCTTGAACAAATCATGGTGTTAACAGACGGCTACTCTTCAAGTCTCATACAATGACCAAATGGTGCATTTCCACTATGGGAACCTAATGAGCAGTACGCCCTGGACTTCTCTTAACCGTCACAAAGTGCAGCCTCCGGGGTTGACGCCGATCATCCTGCTTCGTTGTTCCACTGTATTTGGTGTCTGTCAGTTGCTGTTTAGAGGAGGCAGGGGCTGCTCCTCTCTCATACATGCAGTCAGCTGTGTTTACACACGGTGCTTGTAAGGCCAATGCTTGACATGTGAGGACACGGACATTTAACCAATCATTGACCACTGCTCTGCGTGCATGCACCCCCTCTCTCCTCGCGGTCCTGGTACTTGATTTTAGTACTGCCTTCTGAGGGCTGCTGAAATTTAGCTCCCAGAGCGCACCTCCAAAGCAGGTCGACTGTAGTGGGAACAAACACAGAACCCGTGATGAGCGTTACTTGGAGTGGCATGCTTTCTAGGTTCCTAACAGACGAGGACTGGGGAGTGTGACTGTGACTGGTGGCTTATCTCTGCTTTGACTGTTTCACTGTGATCAGTCCTCAGACCTGGCACAAAGGTTCCCAAAGTTCAGAGGGCTACATTTATATCCACGAGAAACTTGGACTCATGTTTTATAAAAAGATACCTTTTATTGATTGTGTTGATCACATTGATCTACCCATTTGTAGCAACAACCTCGGAGAGTTA